TTACTCTGAGGCCCAGTACTTCAGTGTCTAAGAGTCTTCCAAATCCTTAAGAGAGGCAAAGTTTGAAAAAAAAAAAAAAAGGGAGTACCTTTTACTAGAGCAGTCAATATAACTGAGAAAGTGGGTAAACTGGATACACAAACATTAGATCTAAAGATATGGACTCTTCCAGAAAACCCTGCATTTTGTTTATTTACACCTTTACATCTGCAGCAATATCATTGCTGCTACTAACTCTAAGGACTGAAATAATATCTTCCTCCTAATCCACAGGGAAACATTTTAGTACTCAAAATAGGTACTTTTTAAATGGAGTTCCTTTGGCAACCAAGTTTCAGCAATCATCTCATTTATCTGCTTTGCTGTTTATGTATTTATTGATCAGACTCCAAGTTCAATAATGTTGAAGCCTGTTGGCTACCACCTCACCACTTTTGATGAATGTCGAATTCAAACTAATGGCTATCCTACAGGTTTTATGCAAACCTGGTGAAGAAAAGGGCCTTAGATTGGTTGTTCTCTGTTGGCCATGCCAGAGGATTTGATCTGGACAGTCAGCATGCCCAAGCCCTCTGCCCACTGCAGCATCTCCTGCTTCCTGCCCATGTGCCAGCTTGTGGCTGCAGGCAGCAGCACCATGGAGCAAACTGGCAGGTACAGATTCTGGGCCAAAATCAGAATGTAGGCCATTACTCCATAGAAAACAAGGTTTGCTTAATTCTGCTGACTGTGGAAAAGCACCATTTAAAAAAAATTTGTGTGTAACCAAGTATATTGTACCAGTACACACACCAAAAGAAAGTTGAAATGAGGTTGTTTCATTTAATTTGTAGTTCCAGAAGAGGGGGGCATCTTCACAGAACATTTTGCAATTACTGTGACCAATCCACCCAGAAGCCTCTCTTTTAGCTGGAGCTCTGTTCCATTGAAGTGACTGTTGTAGGCTACTGTGGCCATAAAGTCTGAGTGAAGCTCCCTCAGGCTCATATAGGCTTTGCATATCAGGACACAAATCATAAGCCACTTTCCATATTCAGTAAGAAAACAGGAAAAAGAACAGAGAACTTTCGAATGACTCACTGATGGGCTGGGGTTTTTTTTTGTTCTAGTTGGAGCTTTTTAATTTCTAAATATAAATAATGAGTTGCAAGGACTAAAAAATAATTAACTAAATTTAATTCTGAAGAAGCCTTGTAATTGTTACAGAGCACAGAGTTGCTTTTTGAGATTATTTTTCCTTTGGTTCAGGTTACTTGTGCAAAGATGTTGGTGGTCCTCACATATTCTTAAAAGATATCTGAACAGAGCACTCACCACTCCCTGCAGTGCAATTCTGCCTGATTAGCAATCTCTCTGGGAGGTCAGTGTCTGGAGCAGTTTGTGAGTTGCATTATAAAAGAAATAAATAATAAGAAATTATAATGCTTACAGTCAGTGGAAGACCACAGGTGCAAAAGGCAGCAGACTCTATCAACTGTTAGTGCTATGGTAAAGCCTAGTGTTCCCCTCAAGAGTACTGTAGCCCATCCAAAGGAGAGGGATGCTGTCCACCAGGAAGAGGAAGATCTGACAAGGACATCACTCAGGACTATTTGCAAAGATATAAATCTGGGGCCAAGTCAGGGATTATTTAGTGGAAATAATGAAGTTAATGATGCACATGTGAATGCCTCCCATATTTCTACATGGCACCTTCCTCACTGGTCACCAGTTTTCTGAGTAAAGCAGGCCATGATGCAGGGTGGATTCTGCAGGTCTTCCCCTCTCTAAGCTTCTCCACATTCAGAGTGGACAAGCCTGGCTTCAAGGCAGACTCTGCTTTCCAACCTGCTGGAGCCCCAGAAGTGCCTGCTCATCTGCAGAGGGCTGGGTCACCAGCTACTTGCTCACCTCTCCTTAAATTCTAGCTCTTCATCTCATTGAAAGTTAGACTGCAATTTACTTATCAAAAAACTGGAGCTACTGCATGGATGTGAAGTGTTTGTAAATGACAAAAGCAGTTATGAGGAGAAAGGCAGATGTGCATGATGGTGTGAGGACACCAGCTCTGAAGCCTCGCACAGTAACTCTGTAAAACGCTTCTTTCCATGGCAGGAAAAATCACCTGCATTTCTCTGGGCCAGCCATTCAGTCTGTACCTTCAATAATGCAAAATATTGTCCTGTACCCTGAGCTGAAGAGGCTGTCATGAGAAAGGTAATCCAGAAAGAGGATTCAGTTTCTAAAAAAAAACAGGGTTGGGGGACAACATAAATGACAAAATCCAAGTATTAAAATGACTCTCACAGAGACGCCCTTTAAAACTGAGCTGACTCACAGGGAAGCATTTCACTGTTTCCGAAACACGGGACTTGTTTTCCCCACTGAAAGGACAGGAAAACCCCAAACTAAACACACTTGAGATATTTCAGTTCTCTGTAACCTAAGTGAAAGCAAAATAAAAGCGTAGAAATACTGGAATTTCCCAGAGGATGGATATTTTTGCCTAGCTGCAATCCCACAATGTCAAGGCAGACTGATAGCTCTTTCTTTGTGCCTTTCCTTTAACTGTACCAGGAAAGCACAGGCCATACTTGCGCTAAGCCTGACTGTGGTCATTAGCAGCACACCTCTGCTTTCAGAAGCCTGTGCCTGGTGAAAGAGAAGCAGGCACAGATTTAGACCGGGATGTGTTTCGGGGTGCTTGGCAGCCCCCCTGCCTGTAAGAGGGGAGGGCACCCTGTGCCTGTGCTGAGCCCCACCACGGCAGCGCAGGCACAGGGCACTGCAGCCCGCGGGAACAGTGAAACGGGAACAGCCCCAGCTCCGATGCTGCCTGCAGGGCTCCCTGCCCTGCCCTGCCCAGCACCCACCCTGCTCACAGCTCTCAGCCCCCGCTGTTTCCCCAGCATGGGTGCAGAACACGGGGAGTCACTCCGGACCAGCAGGACGAGGACCATCCACGCCAGAGGAGCATGGTCCCAGGGCTCCCTGCCTGGCTGAGAAGGACAGCTTTCAGCCAAGGCTGCTGGCCTGACAGCAGGGCCGGTGGGACCCTGGCAGCTCCTGCAGCTCCTGCTGGATGCCTGTGAGGGCTGCCTGCATCATCTGAGCGGGGTCTGGTGTGCTCTGCATTTGAAAAGCACCAGAGCACCAGGGCTGTGGGCAGAAGGATTGAACTAGAGATCTAAAAGTTTAAAAAAACCAAACCAAACCAAACCAATTTTTTAAATGGCGCTTTTATGTTCTTAGCCACAACAGAAAGACATTGGGGATTTCTGAAGATTAAAAGAAAATAAAAATTAAAAAAATCAGGTTTGTTAAACACAGATGTAATGCTCTTTCTAGCCCAATTTTCTCTGAGTTGCTCCTTTTCAGAGGAGAATCTGTGCCTCTCCCGTGTCTAGTGCTTGACAATCAGCACTTCTTCTCTCTTCCCTGAGTGGTAAAGCCGGGGGGAGGGAGAGGGCTGAAAGTAAAGCAAAGAATTGTTCAGATTGCCTAGATCCCTCCAGGAAGTGATCTTTCTGCTTTTACTCCAGACACACGCCTCCCAGCTAGCCAGCGGCTCCAACTAATTAGCACACGTGATGGGAATAGGAAACAAAGCCACAAACAATAGTAGCGTGGGAACGCAGTGTAAACTGCAATTACATAGACCCCCCCTCCTCCCCCGCCAAAAACCTAAACCAAATCCAATGTTGAGCCTAAAACCCGATCCATGCACAGGTAGTTGGTGCTGCTGTGTGACTTGGCCTTGCTGTCTGACGCCTGCTCTAATAAGCAAATGCCATGACTCAGGTAATCTTCCCTCTCTCTCTCTCTCTCTCTGGGTCTCATTTCATTTTGCAAGCCATGGCACGAACTAGCTTAACCTTGAAAAAAAAAAAAAAATGGACTCACTTCCTAAGGGCAGGCTAAAATAACCTGAGGACTTTTTTTTTTTTTTTTTTTTTTTTTTCCCGCCCGCCCCCCACTCTGCCCTTTTCCAAATAAATAAATAAAGGCATAAATAAATAAATAAGTGTATAAATCCGAAATAGCTGCCGACAGTGCAGCAGATAAGCGTGGGAGGCAGTGCAAACCGTGCTGGGGAGGAGGTGAGGATCGGCGTTTGCAGGGCGAGCAAGAGCCAGCTATTATTTTCATTCCATACTTCAAGTATATCGAGGCTGCTTCGTTTCCTTTTGTTCGGCGTTGGGGCACAACAGAAAAATCTGTTTGGGGAATTTCAGCACTTGCCAGGTCATGGGGGAGGTCACTCTACTTTTGTTGGGAGAGAGGCAGAAGAAGAAAGAGGGCAATCAAATATCCTCCTTGAGACAGCTTACAAGCACATGTCTCATGCTGTCAGGGGGCTAGGCTCCAGTGTGACACTTCCAGCTTCTTGTCCTCCTGCCAAACTGAATATGTTTGGTATACGTTATATATGTGAGAAGTGGTCACCACTTCCCTGGCCGAGCACAGCTTTAAGACACAGTATAAGGGAGCTATTGTGTGGGATTAAACACATTTGCTGTGGTGTAAGCATTAAGAGCGTGTGACTGTTTGCACTTGCTTTAGAGCACCGTCATTAATAGCGACTGTGGAGGTGCTCCTAGAGAGCTCATCATCCTGGCATCTCGGTGCCCGCACGGCTCTGTGTTGAGGGCCATGTCCCAGAGCTTTGCTTTGCTGACAAGTAAACACAAGGGATTTTTATCATGGCTACAGCAGTATGAATCAAGAGAGGCCTGGGTACGCCTGGAAAGTAACTGCTGTAGCTGACCTGGCATGCTGCTTTGATGGTGTCTTTTCCCATATAACGGAGATTTTCTGGGATAAATCTTTCAGATGGGGGCTGTTTTGGAAGAAATCTATTTCCCCTGGAATAGTTTTTCATTTTTAGAAGCAGCTGAAATGACGGTTACTCAGAGAGCAGTGGATCTATACAGGGTACAGGTTTTGCACTGCTATACTGGTCAGCTCTGCAGGGTCCACAAGTCTTGACTTTTCTGAAACTGACAGGAATGCTGCTGTTTTCAAGAACCGTGAGCAGGACTGAAGTAAAGCAAGTCACAGGAAAATACCCTCAATGTCAGTGCAGGATGTTACATAGCTTTCATGGCACGTCAAAATTGGTTTGAATCTCAAAATTCTGACCCCTCAACTTGGAGTCAAAATGCTCAAGTCAAATGGTAGGTACAGTATCTAACTCTGTTCTGGCAAAATCAGTGACACTTTTTTCTGTGGTTTATTTTTTCCCCGGTATTCCATATGGAAGAGACAACTGATGATAGGATTTGATTTTGGTGTCCTCTAATATCCAAATACTCTGACTGTCTGGAAAAAGGTTTCACATTCAAACCAGCCAAGCTTAGTCATTATCTAAAGTAGGCAAATCAAGCTACTTTGCCAGGATCTCCACGATGTAACCTCAGCCAAAGCCCTGACCAGCTTTGTGGCAATTGAAAATCCCTGGCAGTTTCTCACTCTTGTCACACATGCTAAACATCCCCTCACAGTTCATCTCTCTGTGGCTGGGGAGTGTCTCCTGCAGTGGCTGCTTCCCCAGGTCTAACTTTTCTCAGGTGGCTGATCGCCGTGGGACAGCAGCTGTCTGGAAAAGCCTAGGGCAGGAAGGTGTGAGGTGAATACAAGTTATCATCTGAGAGAGAACAGATGCTCTTCTGGGAGTCAGTGCTCACCACTTCAGATCCAGAATATTCACCATTTTCATTTAACTCATCTGTGCAATGGTCTTAATAGCTGGTACCTTCGAAAGTCATGGATTAATACTTTGATTTGCTTTATTCCAAACTGCCCTTACGAGCAGCTACAGGGCATGCTCCAGTTTCATTTTTATTTTTTTCATTATAAAATTCAGTTGAAATAAACTTTTTTAGGAAAAAAAATATTGTTTTTATTAGCCAAAAAGCCAGGTTTTCCCCTTGAAAGAGCATACTATAAAAATAGCTTTCATGTTAAAACAGAAGGTCTGGGAGTAGTTCTCTATCCTACACCTCCTAGCAAGAATGAGTAGTACACATACATTTTTCTCAAAGCTGCATCTTACTGGCAAAGAAAACTCAAAGTAGGTCTCAGACTGTAAAGTCTTTGGAGCAGTGACTTCCATATATCATTGTATAATGCAAACATAGTTTGAACACTGCTTTTAAAACACTGAAATTGTAAAATTGCACAGGAAAATAGCTAGTCAGGCTGTTCCTTGATGGACTGTGAAGATTTCAACAGCACAAAAAACAGAGCAAATTTCTGCATTATTATTCCTCAGTCCATTTATGAGAAGCACTGTAGGAACAGAACAAAACTATTTTGGCAAACAACAAAGAACTTGGTTATAAAAAGTCAGCAAAAGGAAAACCTGGTTTTATTCGGTGATATTTGGTGCCAACTGTACTGTGATAGTGAGGAGTGATCACTGGTATAAGCAAACTACCCATTTACAGTGAAATTGTCACCACGGTGGGATGGTGTTAGTAGTTGACACAATTTTGGGGCCATTGTCGCCTCTGGATTTGGCAATGCTGTCAGAGGCTGTCCTGCCAATAATGTGTTGCTGACTTTCTGTGTGATTTTACACGGGGTGCACTTTTATACATACGGACAGGGTGTCACTTTCCCATGATTAAGATCAAAGGTGGTTGCAAGTTAAATCAGAGTTTTCTACACTATGCCATGTCAAGTTTGCCTCCTTTTGCATCTGAGACAGCCATTAATTAACATGACCTGGTGTCATTCTTCCTGTAGGGTCTTCCTGTGCCTTTCCACAGGACAGCCTGTGTTGTGGAAATGGAAGAAGGCATATTTATGGAAGAAGCTGACATCTGCAAGAGCCTTGGGTCAGATGGAACCTTGCATAAAAAGAGAAAATAAGCAAAATTTATTGGAAAGGAAACCAGGTAATAAAATAGCCAATCTGCCTCTTCCCTCCTCAGTCACAGGGCCGATGAAATATGAGGTAGCTTTGCCTGTCAGCAGCTTGAATGTGCATTCACAGATTAGCCTTTTGCACAGTTATAACCCAGGTCTGGTTTTGGAGATGAGCTGAAGCCTGAGAAGGTAAATGCAGAGTATCTGTTGGAGCCATCCAGAACAGATATCTGTTTGCACTGCTGCTCTTTCTGTGCTGACAGTGCTAGTCTTGCTTATTCATAGCTATACACTGCTTCCAAAAGACGACACTTGAAACTCATCCTGCAGCAGAAGCACTGCAGCTGTAGCATTCTGCTTACAGTAAAGACTTTGATGTAAATATTATTTATCGCTGTCCTTGGCCAGCTTGAAGAGAGAAATGTCTTGATGATCTGGCTATCACTACGGATGCATGTGAATGTGTGAGGTTTATGTCCTTCTGCTGCAGAAATGGCTCCAGCACAAAGACACTCAGTGCCTGCATGGCAGAAGCTGGGGCCAGTGTGCTTAGAGAGCACCTCAGCCTAATTTCTGAGCTGGCTGTTTGGACCTCTGGCATGTGCAGACAGGAGTGTCAGAGTTCAGCTCCTGAGGAAACACATTTATAGTCACAGGACTGCTAACAGATGATGCAAGGAGTCTAAAACCCCCCTATGTCACACCCATTCACTTCTCCAGCACTTCCATTTGACCTGTGATAACTAGTTTTGCCCTGTGTCAGTGGCATCGACAATCAACACTCAGCCAAATCTCTGTAAAGAAAAGAACAAGATTTGGAGCAACAGCCTCTTGCTTGCAGAGCTGGTGCTGCAGCTGGAATATGCAGGGAGGGGAGGTCGGGGGGAGCACTTGTGTTTCTGCCTGGCTGCAATGTGAGTGCCAGAGCCACCAGTTGAATTGGGCACAGTAACCATAGCAACAACGAGTTTCCGGGACTTGGGGTGACAGGTTGACGGGATTACTCTTCAAAGCACTTGCTCTCTTGGGAGAGAAAACCTAAAGGAAGGGGATGGGAGTTAATTTAGCACACACACACTGGAGCAAGGGTCAGCAGTGGCAGGTCTCTGCTGGAGGGAAGCCTGCAGCAGCAATAAACAGCACCATTTCAAGCACTTTGAGTAGCACCAAAATCACTGTGGGGGGAATCCAACAAAGAAAAATGTGGGGTGCAGACAAAAACTAGCACCACTCCCTTCCAAAGGACAGTTGCCACAAGAGCTCCTGCATGTGTCAGATCTGAGTCTGTGCTTTGGTGTGAGGGCTTTAGCCTGTCCTGCCATTCCTGCTTCCAGCACTGGGTGCCAGATGTGGCTGTAGACCCTGGATCTGGAAATGCTGAGTTGTGCCAGACCTGGAAGCAGTGGGGAAACTGGGGCAGGGGGGAGTAGCAAGAGGGGATACGTCAAGTGTGTGGTGTGTGTGTGATAGGAAGGGGTGTGAGAGGAAATATTTGGGTGGTGGGGTGACTGAGGGATGGCATGCTGCAGTAGCAGGTGGGCATGTGGAAGGTAAGAGGGCACTGCAATGTGAAACAGGGAAAAGGGAGGCACAGTGACAGTGTAGGGGACAAGAGAGAAGGCTGTCATCTCCTAAGGTTCATGGCCTCATTGGTGCAGTGAGGGGGCTGAAATTCAGTTCTATTTAGAAGTATTACCTTATGCACTGTTTCAATTTCCTTGGGCTTTGGTGAGCAATGGGCTGCTCCCCTGTCTGCCCTTTTGGTGAGAGAGATGTATGACAGCACTGTCTTGATGTGTTGGTAATTTTGGGCTAATAAAATTTCCCTTTGGGCTGTGGTTAACAATTAGACCAACGCTATGGATCCATGCCCAGCACCAGAAAAGCACAAGAGCAATTTAAAGCTGCTTTTGCTGTCTGCTCCTCCTAGTGCTGGATGGGAAGATTGAAACCACACACAGGCAAACATTTCCTATCTTCCCACAGCTGCTGATAGCCAACTACATTTGCTCTCACTGTGTAGAGGCACAGCTACACTCTACCTGCCCGTTCTTGTAAATCATTTGCAGAAGTCAGTGTCTACACAAGCTCAGAAAACTTCTTTGGAGGCTGCCTGGCCCCAGTGGATCACAGAGCTAAAGATGGGGGCAGCTCCAGGATCCAGCTGCTGGGTACCTGGGTGGCCACACCTCTACTCCCAAGCAATTGATGCTTAATCCCAAGGATTTTCTTCTACCATGTTTGTTTTCCCCACAGTAGGAGAAGGTATATATGTGCCTGGATGGGAGAATTCAGATGTGTAGTCTGCAGGCCAGAAACACATAAATGTCACTGTACCTTTCACTGACCTGTAAAAGCAAGTGATGCAGGCAGACAAGTTTTACAACAAAAATAGTAGAGGCTGGGAAGGTGGATGTAATAGAAGTGCTGACACAAACTTAATTAAAGCACTGCAGAAAGGGTAAAAATAATGTGGGAATAGAAGATTTCTGTCATCTTCTGTTAGCTGCTTACAGGTGGCTGCAGGACTGTTTCTATCTTCTTAATTGCAGGTCTTTTACTGCTTTTAGCTTGGTCCCTGCTTCCATTTCCCTCCTACTTGAGATGCTTTGCAAAAATATGGGCAACTCCATGAAATCTGAGGCAACCCTGTGCTGGTAACCTAAACCAGTGGGAGGCTGAAGGTAATTATTCCATGGCCTTAGAATGCAAAAATCTGCGTTCATCGACTCTTTGCTCTCACACGATGCTCATCTTGGTTATCCTCCAGTCCATCCGATTGTGAAACGTGGAAGAATCAGCTTAGAAGGGAGCCTGAGTTGAAAGGCTCCATGTAAATGAAAATTTAATTATTATGAAACCACCTCAAAGAGTACACCCTCATTTCACCTGTCCTATTTTGCCTGTACCTCAGCCTGAGAAAGCTGGCAGAATGAAGAGCACTTGTTGGGGGAATACAGGATTTGGGCTGAGGGCCCTGCTGAGTGCCAGGCAGCATGTACTCACAGTAAGCGTGCCAGCCAGACCTCCACACATCCTGTATCCAGTGCTGACCTTTCCTGTCATTCCTCCCTCCTTGCGAGCAAAGGCCACGTGCTTTCAGCTTCTTAAAAGCTGTTCCTGCTTCTGCTCACAGCCACAATATGTGGTGGGGGGAGTAAACAAGAAAAGGATGTGGCTGGCAGATTTGTAGTTTGGAAGGGTACAGGAAAGTGGGATGCCTTGATTTCCTTTGCATTGCCAAAAAACTGAAAATCCCCAAGTTTAAGCCTCCTCAGCTTTAGGCTTTAGCCACTCTTTTCTTTTCTTTTCTTTTCTTTTCTTTTCTTTTCTTTTCTTTTCTTTTCTTTTCTTTTCTTTTCTTTTCTTTTCTTTTCTTTTCTTTTCTTTTCTTTTTTCTCTTCTCTTCTCTTCTCTTCTCTTCTCTTCTCTTCTCGTCTTTTCTTTTTTTTCCTTTTCTTTTCCTTTTTTTTCCCCCTTTCTTAAGGAGGGCGAGCTACTCTTGCCCTGGCTTTTCCTTCTTTTAGCCTGGAAAAGAGGATCAGAGTGACCTTATCACTCTCTAGAACTCTCTGAAAGGAGCTTGTAGCCAGGTGGGGATCAGCCTCTCCTGCCAGGCAACCAGCAACAGGACATTAGGACACAGTCTTAAGCTGTGCCAGGTGAAGTCCAGGTTGGACATGAGGAGTCATTTCTTCACAGCAAAGGTGATACCTGGAATGGGCTGCCAGGGAGGTGGTGGAGTCACCATAACTGGAGGTGTTTAGGAAAAGAGTGGCTGTGGCACTTAGTGTGCCACTTAGTGTGGCACTAGCTATTGTCTAGTTGACCAGAGTCTCTTCTAACCTCATTTACTCTGTGACTGCACTCACTCAGCTCTCCCAGGCCCGTGTTGCCTTAGGGAAGCCCTCAGAAGGTTCATCAGCCTCTGCAGGGTGCAATGATTCTGCTGGGCTCGGGCACGGGGACCCCAGCAGGAGGGGGGCAGAAGGACTGGAGGGAGCGCCGAGGCTGCTGCCCTGTCCTGCCCACGGGCACAGCACCCACAGCACCCACACCGGCTCCCCAGCTGGGACGAGCCCATTCCCACCCCTGCCCAACACTGTCCGTCCATCCGTCCATACCCATCCATCCATCCATCCATCCATCCATCCATCCATCCATCCATCCATCCATCCCTCCGTCCATCCGTCCGTCCGTCCGTCCATCCATCCATCCATCCATCCATCCATCTATCCATCCATCCATCCATCCATCCATCCATCCATCCATCCATCATCTCCCCCTGGCCCCGCCGCGTTCCCACGGCCGCACCTCCCCCGCGGCGGGGGCGTGGCCCCGGCAGCGGCGGGCGGCGATTGGCTGGGGCGGCGGCGGCGCGCGTGGCGGTGCTGGGCGGCGGGCGGCGCGGGCGTGCTCTGCCGGGCTGCGTCCGTGCCCGCCGCCTGCGCATCCCTGCCTCCCTGCCTCCATCCCTCCATCCACCCACCCATCCATCCCTGCCTCCTCCGTCCCTCCCTGCCTCTGCCCGCTGCCTCCTGCCCGCCCGCCCGCCAGGCGTGGGAACTCCATGGGCGAGACGGGCGCCGGGCGAGGCGCGGGGCGCGCTCCGGGCGCGCTGCTGCCGCGCCCCGCCGCCCGCCGCCTCCCCGAGGGCCGCCCGCGCCCCGCCGCCCCCGCCATGAAGCGGGCGCACCCCGAGTACAGCTCGTCGGACAGCGAGGAGCTGGATGAGGCCGTCGAGGTGGAGAAGGAGAGCGCAGACGAGAATGGGTGAGCTCAGGCGGGCAGCGCCGCGGCCCCTTCCTCCCCTCCGCCCCGCGGAGCGCCGGCACCCGAACCCCCGCGGTGACCGGTGTCCCGCTGCTCCCCGCAGGAACCTGAGCTCGGCCGCGGGCTCCATGTCTCCCTCCACCAGCTCGCAGATCCTGGCCAGGAAGAGGCGCCGAGGGGTGAGTGCCCGCCGGCCGGCCGCGGCTCCCGCAGCCCGGCCCGGCCCCGCTGACCCCGCTCTCTGCCCTAGATCATCGAGAAGCGCCGCCGCGACCGCATCAACAACAGCCTGTCCGAGCTGAGGAGGCTGGTGCCCAGCGCCTTTGAGAAGCAGGTAGCGCCCAGAGACCCTTCCCGGCGGGGAGCGTCACCCCTCGGCAGCGTCTCTGCTCCTGCCTAAAACGTTCCGTGCCTTCCCTTCTCTCCTAGGGATCAGCCAAGCTGGAAAAAGCAGAGATTCTGCAGATGACTGTCGATCACCTGAAAATGCTGCATACAGCGGGAGGGAAAGGTAAAGTTTTGTGCGTGACAGAGTCAGGAGCCCTGCAGGGAGGCTGCCGTGGGAGCAGCGCATTCCCGAGCACTGGCAATGCCTGCAGAAAGTGAACGGTAGCTCTCTTGCGTTTCACCAGGAATTAGGGACTTTCTCTACTTCCCAAGATTCGTGGCATCACTGGCACTGAAAGGTTTTGCAGGAGAGAGTTGTTCTAGAGGAGAGTGACTACATCTCTCTAGCAGTATGTCAGCACTGCGAAGTGAATCAGCCTTTGGCAGCTTGGAAAGCAGTTATTATTTATGTCTAGTGCTTGTTTCTCGAATTTTCTGAAATTTCAGAACAAAAATAGGAAAAATACAGTATGAAATAAGTGGTGAAAAGATTTAACAAAACCACTGAAATGCCCTTTTAAGAAAAAAGTACTTTGCCTGCTTAACTCTCTCCTGATAAGTTAGGACTTGTGTTTCTAATGAGTTTCAGTGTGCTGGGGTTTAACTTGCACAAGGGAGACAAATGGAAGGAACAAAAATACTTTCCTCCAGTGTCAGTGGGCAATTCCAGTTTAAAAATGGCAGTTTGTGACTGGTCTTGGGACTTGCAGCATCACAGCACAGATATAAAAGAAAAGCTTGTTAAACAAAAAAGGAAGAAAAAACAAAAAGGAGCTTGGCAGCTAGTCTATGGTTGGGAATACTAACCACATCCAAGTGAAATATGCTTATAGGGGAGGGTGGAGTGGGAAGGCTACTTGAAGACAATGACTAGAAAACAACATCTTAAGACTTCATTCTCTGTTCTTTTCTCTTAGGTTATTTTGATGCTCACGCTTTGGCTATGGACTACCGGAGTCTAGGGTTTCGAGAGTGCCTGGCTGAAGTTGCTCGATACCTGAGCATCATAGAGGGTCTGGATGCCTCTGATCCTCTGCGGGTTCGACTCGTGTCCCATCTCAACAACTACGCCTCTCAGCGGGAAGCAGCGAGTAGTGCTCACACTGGCATTGGACACATTCCTTGGGGCAGTGCCTTTGGACATCACCCTCACATACCTCACCCGTTGCTGCTGGCTCAAAATGGGCATGGTAATACCAGTACTACAGCATCTTCCACAGAGCCACATCACCAGACCAGAATTGCTGCCCCACATGCTGAGACTTCCTCACTCAGAGTGCCCCCAAATGGCAGCGTCGGACCAGTGCTCCCTGTGGTCACATCTACTACCAAACTGTCTCCTCCTCTTCTCTCCTCCATGGCATCTTTGTCTGCGTTCCCCTTCTCGTTTGGCTCCTTTCATCTGCTGTCCCCCAACGTGCTGAGCCCATCTACACCAACGCAGTCAGCAACGCTCAGCAAACCCTACAGACCCTGGGGGACTGAGATTGGCGCCTTCTAAGAACTGACTCTTTAGCAAGGGTGGGAAAGCTTATAAACCTAGCTGAGCTGGGTTATGCCACCCTTAAAGTTGAAGTTCTTAGTTACTGGGACAAAGGTACAGCTTCACCTTAACTGAGTTTGTCTAAAAACTGTCTCGTTGGATTTTTCTTTTTGTTTTCTACATTTTTGTATTAACAGGTTGGTTTTTTTTGGTGTTTTTTTTTTTTTTTTGGTAGTTGCTGATGTTGTCCAAAAATAAAATTACAGTAGTGGTTTGTTAACACTTGTGTTAGATCTCTGCTGAGCATTTAAGTCACTTTTGTAAACAGTTTGTTTCAAATGTTTCATTTTTCCTGAGTACATCAGACTGGCTTTTTATGAAGAAATACCACCTATTATTGTTAGCGATGGCCTAGTTTTGTTACTAATTTTTCCAAGACCATTCTTCTCAGCATTTACAAGCTGTGTTTTTGTTAGTATTTTGACACTGAGATGTTCTATAAAGAATTACTCTTTTGTAAACTATATTTGAGTCTTATATTTCTGAGCAAAGCGTTGACAAATCAGATGCACCTGCTTGACCAGCTTTATCTAAGAGCCCAATTCCTCTTTCTTCTGAAGCCATTTGTACATTTGGCAATCTTATTCTAGTCCCTAGTAGATACTTACTCACTTCTTAGAACCACTACACTATTTCTTCCATCAAAAGGAGCAGTATGAGTGGGGAGGGTGCAAAAGTCAAATTGTACGTTGTATTGGTGGTGGGTTTAGTTGCTGGGAAGTTATGGGAATTAAAATTGTCACCTGCAGTTATCTCCCAGCTGGAGCTGGTCACATGCATCTTCATTCCATAGGGCCAGATCCTGCTTTGAGTTACAGTGGAGTAATTGTTCTGCTAGCCTGAATTCTTGGGTATCTGAGGTCAGACTCTTCTCTGTCAGCTTCAAATTTTCAGCTGAAACAGTTGATGATGGTATTTATATAGCCAGTGGAATGGTGCAATGGGAGCCTGTTCAGTGCACAGCCTTGTTACTTAACAGATGCATCCTAACTAGGTGATGTTTCTGTTGCATTTTAGGTGCAGTTCAGTGCCACTCCTCATTTTTTAAGGGTTCTGCTGTGTTCTTGTGTGCCTGAGAGTGTGTGCACATACATCTATTTTGCTTGATTTCGTGAGAATCTTAATCTGAACAGGTTTATTGAGTGAGTTCCACTGGAAAGGGTTTGCCTGCTCTTGTATCTGTGTTGTGGCCAAATAAAGGAGAAAGAACAAAGTATTTAAAATTACATGCTTGTCTGATCTATATCAGTGAAGAATTCTATGCCTGTGGGTGTCACAAGAGATGTTGAATGATTGCTACTTAGTCCTGCTGTGGGCATTTGTATTTTTCTCAGATATTACGGCACGTGTAGCTTTACTAGCTGAGTACGTGAAGAACCTTGGAGTGCCTTGGAGTAACAGTCAAGGGAAGGAAAATGTAGGATTTCTTTTGCACATCACTTTTATGTGCCTGGCAGTGCGTGGGCAGGTAATGAAGATAGCAGGGTTTCTGCTAAAGAAGAGGTTAAAGCTGCACTGCACTTGAATATATTCTTAGTGACTCGTATTAACATTAAGAAGTGATAATCTTTACAGATACTAAGTCCTTTTCTGTCTAACTCATGAATTTATCTGTCCTATAGCTCTGGAATGAAGTTTTGTACGTTAGAATGAGGTTCAGATCTC